CCCCTTCACTCTTCAAAGCACTGATAGTTAGCCCCCTGCAAATGAGATGTAAACCCTTCCTGACGTTTTATCTTTTTCTATTTTTATTCAGTCACATTTCTTCTCCAAAGGTTTGCTTGCTATAGAAAGACCTTTTTCAAAGACAGACACACATTTAATTCCATGGCATGTGAGACATTCCTTTTTTGAAAAGGCAAGCAGCTGATATAGCATGCTGTAGCACAAAAGGAGTAAGTTAAAATGCCAAAAAATATTTCTGGGGAAAGGAAAGTCAAAATATAGTGATATACATCCTGTCACTTAAAAGCCATAACCATCTTGTTCTAGTTTATGATGACATGATGCTATAAGTGATACCGGCAATTATGAATGTAAGAATTACTCCCTTACTATTATCTGTTACCATGCACAGACTGTTTAAACATTTTATTTTTTTTTTGCTAGTACTCAATGAATTACTTAGCATGTGGTGCTCTTCTTATACCAAGTTGCAACCTGTAAGTGAAATAATACATTTGGTAATACCTTCTGAAGCTGACAGACGGAATGCTAAAAATGAATAGGTGTGACAGAGGACCTCTCAGGAAGGTGTTTTTTACAGGATACTTACTGCTATTTGGATTGTCACCTATAATATGATGTCGGCCACTCCAGTACCAAAGCAGCAGCGTAGCGTCACGAGACCCAGACACGATGTAGCAGTCCCCACCGATATAGGACTCTGATCTGGCAAGGCAAGTCACGACATCCCAGTGGCCAAACACAATCTGAGTTAATTTTCCTGGTGGGAGCGCAAAGTGATAGAAATTCAGGTTTTTTAAGTACTTGCAGCATTTAGAAATCATTAACTAAATCACTAACAAATATTCAGTTCAAATGTAATTTTTGCCTGACGTCCCTTAATTAGAGTTCACTACACGCTACAACTAGATTAAAAGATAAAACTGACATTTTCTCTTTTTATGTTCCTATTGAGGGCTGTGCTCTCTGTCAATCCATAGCCTAACCCTTATCTGTAAAAATCAAGTCAGTGCTGCAGTCACTGAATATTAAGTGGAGTTACTGCTCCATCAGTATTTAAGCAATGGTGTTAGAACATTATTTGTGCATTTCATTAATGATATGCATAAGACAGCACATGAACTTTTCCATAATGGTGCTACATTATTATATTAAAAATGTATATTTGTTCTATGTTAATGTCAAACTAGGGTTTACTATGATCATCACCTCCTTCTTTCTATTATTGCATTCAGTTTTTAGCAAGATACTGAAGGATATTAGGCTAAGCAATCAGACAAAGAAACAAAACATTGGTTCCTGGTAGGAGGCTCTGCAACCTAATTCCTTATTACTTGAAATAAATAGAAATAGAAACAATACAGTCATGAAAATATTGTAACAAAAATTTGGGTTGATCTTTTTGATACGATCAATTCCCTGAATGTAACTACGGTTTTCAAAAGTTACCACTAATCAAATTGTATTGGCTTTCCCTTTCCTTTCGCATCCTTTATCTTTCAAAAAAAAAAAAAAAAAAAGCATCTTAAAGCTATTATGCTTAAACAATAATGAAGGATTTTATGAAGTGCCCTAGATATGGTAGTATTAAGGCAACTGTCCACTTTGTGACCTAAGAAGAAACAGGTAGTTGTATTTAGGGTCACCTGTTTCCGTAGAATAAACTCGAAAGCTCTTGTCCCAAAAACCACAGATAAGAATGTAGCGATTATCTGCTGTGACCACAAAGCAATGTGCATTGATCTGGATGCTCTGATCCACAAGGTCTGTGATCTGCCGTTTGTTCACACCAGAGTTATTGGCTGTAACGAAATGCAAAACACATTTTACAAGCAAGCCATTCCAACACCTTCCTGTCATCCACTTACAGGAGAAAATGAATACATTTAACTTTCAATGAACTGTGAATTTGTTGTTGAGTAAGCATTTTGAATATGAACATTCAGAGCTGTCTATATGGGTGTCAGAAATACAAAATTATTGTGAGATTTCTGCTTTCCCTTTGAATAAGACAAAAGATTTTACAGGAGATAACAATTTCTTATAAACTGCCTGATGCACTGCATAATATGTAGTAATATTTTAAGTGCTCTGCAGAAGTACTCTCCAAAACCAAACTGAACTAGGGGAAAGTGATGGAAGTTCATTTAAAATACCAAGTCAATGCTAACAATACTGCAGAAAGTCAATTCTTACTGGTTAGTACCTCTTCTACAGAAAATATCCCAGCTTGTATTGTGTGACCTTGACATTCCCCATATCTGCAGACGCTTAACTGGATCAAAGACGTAAGGATTCAACCAATGAAGCTTTAAAATCTAATGTGCTTTTTCAAAACTGTCTGATCACCTACCCCTCAAGCAGAGAGTCAGGCCACGGGCAGTAATGTTAAAAGAGGCAATGCCACCTGGAAATTCCCCCAGACAGAGGGAAAAATAATGGTTCATGTAGAATGCCACCACCCCAACTGTCAAATGGAGTTGTTAAGAAGGACTGGGAGTAACCAGCAATTGGGCTCTTTGTTTCCTGTGACACAACAGACAGGATTGGCCAATACAATAGAGGTGTGTTCCCTCTCACCCAATATTAACGTTCTAAAAGTTCAGTAATCTTAAGTTAATTACCTATGCTCCCTCTATACTCACTGGAGAGACAGACATCGCTTTGCATGGCAAGTCATCTCATGCTGTAATAGCTGTCCAAGTGCTAGACAACTCCAGAGGATGGTTTCTCTTTCTACAGTAGCTACAGAGGGAATCTTGACAACTAACTTCAGCTAATTGAAGTTAGGTGAGATAAAACTCACTCTGAGAGACATGTTTCTCATAATGTAGGAACATGACTAATGCAGATAATATTCTGAAATTTCTTTTGTCTTTATTTTTGGTTTTTCTACTTAAATTGCTCACAACTGCACGAAATAAGAGACTTAACCAAAAAAACCCCAACCCAACCAATTTTAAATTTCCTTGTAAAAGTTAATATGATGTTTACACTCCAAGAACACATATTTAAATTACCAGACCCTCTATGTCCATCCACTGAAAGATAATGAATAACAAATTACTCAGATTTCCAGAACAGGTGGGCACAATAGCTGTGTTCTAGCTTTTGAGAGGAAAATGTGAAGAGAAAACCATTGTCATTATATGAGCAAATGAAGCATACAGAATGAGAAAGCTAACTCTCCTGAGGTACTTGTATATAAATCTTTCAACCACGAATATTGACACAGACGAAAAGGGAACTTTTCATCTGGAGATGTTTAAAAATGCATTTTTTTCTCACCAGTGCTGTAAAATTGTCTCTGAGAATGTTCTCTATCTGCAATTTCTGTCTTAAAAATATGCCTACTGCAAATAAAACTAAACAAACCACAAAGCCAATAGTTGCAATTAAAGAGAAATAATGACTATTAGGAAAACAAGTCCTGCAACTCTAACAGTTTTAGCAGATGCTATTTCTCAAAATACTTCACTTTCTCAAATATTTTTTGATTTAAAAATACAATTGGGCATCAATTTAAAATCCAGTCTGGTCTTTATTAATTTAGTAAAGCTGACTAAAACAATTCAAATAATAAACTGAATAAAAAGAAATGGATCTGCATCTGCACTGATACACACACCGTTGGCTGTAAGAAATGAAAATATGTGAACTCTACCAGACCCTCAAATTTTATTTTACTAATGTGACCTGATAAGAGAACAGAATTATAGATATAGACTGACAATGTAACTGACTTAATTGGTTGTTTCTTAAACACCAATTGCTGGTGATGTTAATAACAAATAGCACTCATGTAATTCATTCAGCATCAATAGTTAATGCTTTTAGTTCTCCAGGACTGACAAGAATAAATATTTTCATATCTTCTGTGTTAAATGAAGCATAATATACAAATATAGCTTAATCAATAATTCTTGAAAATGCCGTTTTCAAATATATCGCTACATTTTCATCTTGACATACCAATCAATGGATCCATTTCAATTGGAAGATGATGGGCTTGATCCAAAGAATATCCTGGGGCTCCCCGAAGGCCTACACATGAAAGGAAGAATAAAGCATATAGGAACCTTTTTGTCTACATTTGTATATTATTTTTCTACATTTAAAACTGCATTATTGGATTATTATATATAAAAGAAAAAGTAATTTCTTCCTGTTACTTGTTCTATGAATCTTTTAAGTGTCCTTCCCCTGTTCTACACAAATACGCATTTGTTAATTCTTCCGTTATGTAATAGTGTGTTGGTTTTGTGTGGCAAGGTTT